GTCTGCTTCTCCCTCTGACCCTCCTCCCTCTCATGCTCTCTGTCTCTCATTCTCTCTCTCTCAAATAAATAAATAAAATCTTTAAAAAAAAATAAATAAATAATGAGGAAGCTTAAGAATTATTACTTTCCCCTTATAGCAAATTTAAATCAAGCAGAATAAAAAGGGATTGTACTAATAATCCTCACATGAAGTGTGAGAATTAAGGTCTTACGCAAGGGCCAAGGCAGCTATTCCCCCATCACTGAGATACAAAGTTAAATATGGTGTCTTCAGCTGTTTGGAAAAAAAAGGGTTAAATACAAGAACAAAAAGCTTTTATTCTGAATTACAGTTGGTAAAACAAATGAAAAAAAATGAACCCAAAACTTGTGAATGGTTTTAAAAATGATTTGTTACTAATAATTTGTTTCTGAAACATTGGTGTACCTTCATGGAAAATGGAAAGTAGAGAATGCCAGTTTAATCATGATTTATTTTATTCTTTTTTTGGTTTTATTTGTGAAACAGGCTGCACAGCAGGCATCTCTCTCTTCACCCAAATCCTGTTCTTCCTCTTCCTCGGAAAGTACAATAAAGACACACAGCAGTTTGGCCTCCTTATCTAGAGAGAGACAGTCCTGGATCGACATGGTGAATAGTTCCGCCACTGCTGACGATGAGGGACAGTCTATGACATTTGCTGTGCATGTTCACTCACCTGCACCCTCAGAGGCAAGCAGTTGCAGGGCTCTGGACAACAGCTTTGCCACATCAGAAAGTGGATTTTTGAACTCTCTGTCTAGTGATGACACTTCTTCACTGAATAGCAACCTGGACCATCTTATTGTCCCAGACAAGCCCACTGGATCAAAGATGGCAGACAGAGGTAAACCAAAAAGTTATTTACTCTTTTCTAGAGAATGAGTATTCATGGATATAGAACTCCTAATTTGTTAAGAGAATGTTGAAAGGCATGGATGATGATTCAATAATTAAACAATCAGGTGGGGCTAAGCCCAAGGGCTGCTTCGGTAGGGGAGTTTGTATGTGGAAGACTCCAGCTTCAAGACCATTAATTACCCATGTAAGTGTCACTGGCCACATGCTTATAGTGATGAGACATGTAATTTTCCACCGATCTGAGGAAAAGCTTGACTCCTTTTTGGTCCCATCCTATGTCCTGGAGCTTGTGGTGATTAGATCAAGGTTTTGTAGATTGATATCTTGCGGTTCCAAACAAACGGAGAGCAACCACCTTCCCTGGGCCACAACCACAGAAAACGTCTGGCTCCTCGTTAGTTGGCTCCTGCAGGTGTCTGTGGTTAATGGGGAAGACAGACAATTTGCATGCACTTTGGAAGGCAGCACTAGAACTTTTAAACACAAAGGAAGCAGTGTATGCTTTTGAAAACAACAACAACAAAATATTTTAAATCTTAGCAAAGGAAACAGTTAATGGAGTATAGAAATTAATAATGTGAACTTTCTTAATACTCTGTGATAATTGGTCTTTATCTTTTGTTCAGACCAACTTTTTTTTTATTATTAGTTTTCAGTCATGATGTGTCTTTTTGGATGGTCTGTACCTTATTTACTCAGCTGTAAAAACAAGCTTACCTGATATAAGATACCGAGCAACAAGAGAATGCTGAGTTTGGTTTATATTTTTTCAGTGTACTTTTGAAAGAAAGTTGACGGGTGAAATTCTCACGATACCTTGCCAGAGTGGCCCGAGGACACAGACGACTTCTGTCCCCTCTCCCTTAGCCTAATCGGAAAGTTTATTTAAGTCCTCAAATTTTCAGATATACCTTATTAATTTAATATTTGGTATCAGGGTAATTTAAGTCAAGGATCACGACTGTAGTCCCAGTTGTGTGTGTGTATACAGTATTTTGAACTATGCAAATTTGAGTGCTCAGGCTGGGAACTCATTCTCTAAGTCACCACGATCATCACCACTCCTTGTGGCCTTACCTGAAGATGCTTCACACAGTTGAGTTACCTGCCTGGCAACTGATGGCATTTTTGTTTAATACCTCTACTTTACATTTAAAAGAGTGGAGTGAAAAATGTCATTGGTGAAATAACCTATGTCTAGAGGTGAAGGAGGTGGAATAGGGAGGAGAGTGGGAACAGCACCAGTGAGGAATACAGGGGGCCACAGGGGGACTCTGATGGGTGGAAAACAGGAGACGTGAGCTGGCCTCGGGTTTGAGAGGTGCTGTCACATAGAAGAACTGTTGGGCGTAATCTGTCTCCTTGGAAGTACAAAACTAATGCAGATGGTAAAGCTAGAAGCGCAAGCAAAAAGGAGGTAGTTTTAGATTCAGCATAAGAAACTTCTTTTAACATTGAAAATGGTTCAAAATTGAATGGGTTTCTTGGAAAATAATGCATTTCTTGTCACTGGAGGTGTTTCTTCATTCTGAGACAATCGTTTTCATTGAGTATTAATTGCATATTGCATATTGATCACAATCTTTATTCTTCTTTAAATATTTCATTTATTTATTTATTTTATTTTAGAGTGAAAGAGAGAGAGACAGAAACAGAGAGAGAGCACGAATAGGGGGAGGGGGAGGGGCAGATGCAGAGGGAGAGGGAGGACTTGGTGCTGAGCGTGGAGCACGACCTGGGGCTTGATGCAGGGCTCCATCTCACCACTCTGAGATCATGACCTGAGCCAAAACCAAAGTGGCAGACGCTCAACGTGCTGAGCCACCCAGGTGCCCCACAATCTTTGTTCTTACAAAGACATACTGAAGAGAGCACTTAAGTATCTTGAGCTGGCCCTCCTCTATCTTGGTACTTGGAAGAGCCTTCCAGATACATGGCTGCTTGAACTAAAAATCATGGAAAGTACCACATCTATAATTTTCCCGTAAAAACCTCTTACTTTAATCATTGGGCCATAAGTAGAACTAAAAAGTGTCATGTGCAAGCGCACACACACACTACCCCAGGATGAAGACGGCTTTAAAAGCAAAACAGAGAATAAAATTCCATTTGCATTCTTTCCCGAGAGATGACCCTGCAGATGGAGTTTTTCTTTAGGATGAATAAGCTGCGAGTCATGGGAATATGTATGTACCTCTTGTCCATGTCCACATGTCATTCTGGGGATGCATGAGCTACAGAGCTGGCTGGGGACCAACGTCTCTTTCAATCTAAGGAAGAAGAAACCTAGTATTTTAAAATTTTGAGTTAAGTGCAGGGTGACCAACAAAATCTCTATGCTTCTTTCAACAGTTTGACATGAAGGTATTCCTCTCAGTGGAAAAGAAGGAAGAGAAAATAAAAGTATTTTTCCCTCACTGATGTGTTGGCAGTTGCCATATGTTACAAAATTTTTGCTGATGATTTTCTCCTGCTTCTGGGGATTTGGTTAAATTCCCAGAAGAGTTAAACCACATAAAGTCATTGCTATGGAAACAGCAACCAGGTCTTTTCTTGTATTTGCAGTGATTTGCTGTTGAGTAATCAGACTGCATATTATGCATTTTTTTACATGTGTATGTTTGTGTATTGGAGAACAAGGTAGCTTTTCATTTCTGTGACTGCTAAAAATTATTTTTTAGCTGCCAATTAAAAAAAGAAAAGCTCTGATATTCCTGTGTCTGAACTATTGTTCAGGGTGTTTTTATGACAGGAATTGAAGTGTTGACATGGTCCAAGACAGGAGTTAGGATTTTAGGTTAAGTCCCAGTCTCAGGATGCATTTGCTAGAGAAAGAGGCTTTTCTCCTAGAAAACATTCTTAGAGGTTAATAACTGAGTCCTGAAACAAGTAGGCAGCATGCGTTACAGCCTTCTTTCTATTTCAACAATGAGAGAAATGTTTTGCAGTTATGCAGTTAAAATTGTGGTTGCTAGAATTTTATACTGAATTTAAATAGCCTTTTAGACATTTCTTCTCTGCAGCATAAGCTAATAATAAAAAAATGCGGCAGGGTGTTAATTGCATCCCATTGCCTTTCCACATTGGGAGTTCCAGAGTTCCATAGCTTTCTAGATTCTTCACTGAGTCTTTCCTCAAAGCACAGTGGGAAAAGAGGTGATGGGGATAGTGGAATATTCATCTCAGGTCAATTTTACCCTATACTGTTTCCTTCTTCTGTGAGAGGTTATTTGGTCTGTTACTTATGCCTAGATGATAATGACTCCCATGTATGTCTCTATTTACATTACGCTGACAATGTGGAGACAATTTTATTTTTGCTTACTCCATGAATGGAGTGACCATACCCTGGATGCTAGAAAGCTGAAAAGACTAATACTCTATGTAAATAAGCAGTCAAGTACAAGTCCAGTCAGAATCAATCTAGGAATCATGTTGAATAAAAAGAGTTGTTAATGAGGAAATAAGCATACTGGAATATGCATGACATCTTAAGACATAAGATGTGACATAAATGAGCCAGATTTTAAGAGTTAGCAAATATTACCAAAAATTGTACATAATCTGAGTACAAACAGGATAGATGCTATATTATTTTAGCTAGCTAATTCAGATGCTGTTGTAGGAATTACGCAGCATGTCTCTTTAGGAAGCAAGAAGATAAAAAAAAAAAGTTGAATACTGAAGTCCATTCAATTTAATCTTGTTTTTTTGAGTACCTAACATGTACTCATGTACTCAGTCCTAACAAGAAGATACAGATGAACAAGATACAACTTCTGGGCTAAAAAATTTTAAGATCTTAATGGGGGAGAGTGGGAGGAATAAGACTCATTTAACAAAAGCAAGCAGAGTAAAGTAAGTGCTACAGAAAGATAGAAGGTACTCGAGGTATTTAAAGGTGAGCAGGAACTCAAAATATGGAAGATCACATCTAAGTAATCTGTGATCCAAGTGGGAGGATCTGCACACAGAGAAGGGAGCCGTGGAAAGGAGGGATGGAAAAGAAATTTGAGTGATGTTGAATGCTGGGTTAGTTGTTAGTTTATTTCAGTAGATAATGGGTGACCATTTTTAATCAGGGTACTCATATAATTGATGATATACTTTTTTTTAAAATTATTGATCATAATTTGTTTTAAAGTCATGAAAAGCCAGCAAGAGTCAGGCTGGACAAATACCTGAGATATGCTATATTTTAGAAAAATTATGTCGCTCTAGAATGTGGGGTAGAAGCATATAAGGGGACAAAGGAAATCAGAAGAGTTAGGAAACTTTTGTGGTAGCTGGGGTGGCGGTAGATAGAGGAAGCAAAAGAGAGACTGGAGGGCTTCCATAGCATGCCTATCAAGGTGAGGATCTTAGTCTTTGTACCTCTATTACTTAATTTAGTCCCTAGAAGGTTTCCCAGTGATCCTATTTTTTGAACTATAATTTGAGAAGGGATCTCAAAATAGAAGTAAATATTTACTATTGGGAAAATCCTGAATCTATAATTGTTGACCTCAGTGGCATTGCTCTCAAGCATAGATGATCCACTATCTTCTTTATCTGCTCCATACCCAGTGGCTAACGATCCCTAGAAGATGTCGTGAAATAATACTGATTAGGTTACCTGCAAATTTGTGCAATGTAACTAGTCCATTTTATTTATGACTATAAGCATCTAAGTTATTTTTTAGTGAATATTCATTACCTGATGTGATTAAAGAGATTCTTTCCCCAGTGACTTGTATTGCCACATTTACAGTATCAAAATTCATATATATAGGCTTATTTCTGCAATCTCTGTAGTCTTTTATTGACGTTTTATCATCTATTTTGTCAGTATAGTAGTTAGATTCTACGTTTATAGCATGCTTTATTATTCAGTAGAACATTACTCTCTTTGGCACTATCTTCAGGTAAATTTTTGGATTTGATTTTCAAGTTTAATTTTAAAAATCACAGTTGGATTTTGATTAAAATTTTCTTGAATTTGTCTAGATTAATTTGGTGAGAACTGCTATCTTTAAAGCATTGAATCATTTCATCTATGAACATGGTATATTTCTCCTTCAGTTCTCATTTTATGATTTTAAGTACATTTTTCTTCTTATAAGTGTAGCATATATCTTATTAAGTTTGTTCTTACACCTTTTATAATTTTTCTTGCATTTGTGAATGGAATCTTTTAATTCCATTATATTTTATGATTATTATTGCTGATGTGAAAATAGAAGGCTTTTTTTTTTCACATTTGTCTTATACTAGTCACCCTACCTTATAGTTGGAATTTGTTTTGTTTCTAGATAAGCTATCCTAGCTTTATGTAATGGCCATTTTAGCTTGTCCTCTCTAATATTTATGATTAATTTCTTTTTCTTACTTGTGTGATCAGAATTTGCCTGAAGTTTATTTGCTCCTTTACTCTAAAAAATAGTCTTTGGCATTATTGGTTGCACATTATTTTTATTATCCAGTTAATAAAATTCTGCTTTATCTTTATGAATTCTTTCATTTTATTTAGAATTATTTTGTTGGACCTTTGCTAGCTCCTTAAATTAATTGCCTAGTTGATTCACTTTCATATCTTTTTCCTAGTAAATATGTGCAGGTTCTGCATACCTCTTTGACTAGAACTTGCAGTTTGTGTTATGTAATACTTTCACTGCTGGTCATTTGCAAACAGTGAGGTTTAAGAGTAATTTAACTTTTAATTTCTTCTGTAACCAAACCTAGTTTTAGAAGAATGCTTTTAAATTTCAAAATGAATGCTCACTTCAGCAGCACATGCTGAAAATTGAAACGATACAGAGATTAGCATGGTCCCTGCACAGGGATAACACACAAATTCATGAAGTGTTCCATATTTTTGTTAACTGGAATTAAAATGAAAACTTAAACACACACAATATTTAAAAATATTTCAAAGTGAATATGTTTTCAGCTGTCTGCATGGGATTCACAAAAGGTCAGTGACAAAAGGTCAATGACATAATTTAAGGAACCATGATCTTTATAGAAAAAGTTTGTAAGTTTCTTCATTGACAACAGCTATGGCAATCTCTCTTAGCAGTATGGTTACACAAAACTGAAGGTGACTTCCCCTTGTGATCTACAAGTCTTCTCGAGAACAGACTTCTACAGTTTACACCATTTGTTCTGGGAAGATTCCTGTGTAGTTTTTTGAAATGCTTCTATCCTCATGGCCTCAGATTCATTTTTTTTGTCTTTATAATTGTATTCCTGGCCCTTTTTGACTATTCTGGAGTTGTTTCTCTATTCATCAAGAGCAAGGAACTGTGAAGATACCAGCACATGTCTGAATTTGTAGCTAGAAAGGACAATTCGAAGGTCAGTTTTCCAGGGAGATCCTTCTCATCAGGATAATGTCTTAAGCCTTTGAGGTCTATTCCTGCACTATCCTTTTGTTGTTAAGTTCTAATTTCTCTCCCTACAATGTTATGCTGTCCTAAATAAAGCCAAAGCAAATAAGGTTCTATCTTCCTCAAACTATACAACTATAGTAAGCAGAAGATTGAAAAATAATTTTTTTAGTAGACTTTTGTCTTTCTTGAAGTAATTTTAGGTTCTGAGCAAAATTGAGAGAAGGTACAGAGATTTCCCATCTGTCTCCATCCCTATACATTCATAGTCTCCTCCATTAGCAACATTCCCTCCACCAGAGTAGGATATTGTTACAACTGATGAACCTACACTGACACATCATTATCAGCCAAAGTTCATAGTTTACATTAGGGTTCCCTCTTGGTTGTGTATTCTGTGGGTTTGAACAAATGCATAATGACATGTATCCATCATTATGGTATCATATCGAGTATTTTCACTGCCATAAAAATCCTCTGTACCCCGCCTATTTAGCCCGCTGTCCCCCTTACCCCATTGGCAGTCACTGACCTTTTACTATCTTCATAGTTTTGCCTTTTCAGAATGTCATATAATGTAATCTGCAAACAAAGGCAGTTTTATTTCTTCCTTCCCAATCTGTATACCTTCTTTTTCCTTTTTTTGTTGCATTAGCTAGTATTTTCAGTACAGTGTTGAAAAGGAGTGGTGAGAGGACCTCCTTGCCTTGTTACCGATCTTAGTGGGAAAGCTTCAAGTTACTCACCATTTATGAAGTTGGCTGTAGGATTTGTAGATCTTTTGAATCAAGTTGAGAAGGTTCTCTCCTATTCCTGTTTACTGAGAGTTTTTATCATAAATGGGTCATAGATTTTTCAAGTGCTTTTTCTGTATCTATTGATAGGATCATGTGATTTTTTTTTCCTTCTTTAGTCTGTTGATGTAATGGATTACATTAATTAATTTTTGGATATTGAATCAGCCTCACATGCCTGGGATAAATCCCACTTGCTTGTGGTATATAATTTTTTTATACATTGTTGGATTCAATTTGCTAATATTTTGCTGAGGACTTTTATATCTGTGTTCATTGAGACATGTTGGTCTATAGCTTTCTTTTCTTGCAATGTATTTGGTTTTGGTAGTAGAGCAATTCTGGCCTCACAGAATGAGTGAGGAAGTGTTTCCTCTGCTTCTGTCTTCTGAAAGAAATTGTAGATAATTGGTATAATTTCTTCCTTAAATGTTTGATAGAATTCACCAATGAATCCATCTGGGCCTAGTGCTTTCTGTTTTGGAAGGTTATTAATGTTTCAACTTTTTAAATAGAGATAGACCTGTTTGTATTATCTATTTCTTCTCATGTTAGTTATGACAGATTGTATCTTTCAAGGAACTGGTCCATTTCAGCTAGGTTATCAAATAATATTTCTTCATTATCCTTTTGGTGTCCAGTGGGATCTATAGTGATGTCCCCCTTTTTCATTTCTGGTGTTAGTAAATTGTGTCCTCTTTTTTTTCTTAACTAGCTAAATAATACATATTTTTACTTTTGGCCTATCTAGATACTTGGAATTTAATAAGTATAATTTACTTATTGAATCTTTAGTACTCTGATTCCAAAATTAGCTCATTGTGCTTATTTGATAGAAGGATAGGTGAAGGGGATAATAATGAGATAAAGAATGAACATTTTGACCAAATAATGAATGTTTAGCAAATATTTATTGAGAATCTACTATCTTCCTGGCACAATTGGCATTTGGAGATATGTGAGTGAATAATAACAGAGGCAACAGCCCTCTTGCATAGAATTTACAATCTGGTGTATATATTATGTCAGGGTAGGGAGACAATCAGATAAATATAAGAATAGGATGATTTCTGGTAGTGAATAAGTTCTATACAGGAAATAAGGTAGGAGTATATAATAATGGGGGGTTGGAGGAAGGATCTTGATTTAGATGACTGGTTGGGGAGGACCTCCCAGGAAAAGGTGATCTGAGAGCCAAATGGCACAAAGCAACCTACACATGAAAACAATAGTTGGCAAAGTGTCCCAGCCAGAGAGAAAATAAGATGCAAGGGCTCTAGGACTAGAATAAGTTTTGCAGTTCAGGAAACAGAAAGAAATCCAGTGTGGCTATTATAGAGTGGGCAGGGGAAGCTCAGGAGGGATTGGAGAAGTGGGTAGTAGCTGGCTTATGTGGCAACTAGTGGGTCCCGTAAGGTGTTTGAATTTTGTTCTAAGTGCAACGGGATGATCTTGGAAGCTGGGGAATGTTATGGTGTGCCTTATGTTTTAAAAAGATTACTTCACTATATGGAAAATGGGTATTAGGAATCTGTAGTAGACCACGTATCTAGTTGTTGAAATATGTCAACAGTGAAATGATGGGTGTTTGGACTAAGTTGATAGCAGTGGAGTGGGTCAGGGGGCAGAAAAAATATACATTTGGGATATATCATGCACATAAAATATAAGCATATAAACATTATAAAAGATTCTTGCCTATTTAGTCTATCTCTAGTATCTAAAAACACTGCCTTAGCACACAGTGAACATTCAAAGAGTATTTGATGGATGAATTGAGTAAATGAATGGATCAGATGTGCAAGGAAAAGAGAGGAATCAGGGATGAGTTACAAGTTTTCCAGCACATTCAGTCTCTTGTATTACTAAATATAATTGCAACTCTTAGGGATTGGTATCATTTCCTGGGAAAAGGTTTGCTAGTAGGGATTTAATGCCATAATTAAATACATAACTCTAAATATGTACACTGTGGATTTCCTATAAGGCAAAACAAAGGATGTTTTACAAGTAATTATAGATCACACCAGACTATAATCATTGAGATAAGGAAAAGAGAGTGTCATCTTAAAAAGGCAAGAGCATTTATCTGCTCCAAACCTTTGTTTTCTGCTTAGTGAAATAGGTTAACTTCTTCCTTTCTCTTGCCTCACTGCCCCCTGCATCCCTTCCCTCCTTCTGCATCTTCCATTTTTATATTTTGTGCTCATTTGTCTCCATCATGGACCCACATTGTAGATGGACTCAGCAGTTTATGGAGCCAAGGTTGACATATTTATCTACAGTACATTGGATTTGGATCCTTGAATTTAGGCAATTTTCTGGCTTTTTTCCCCTTTTAAATTCGCACTCAACCTCTACCTTGCAAGTATATTTTAAAAAGGAAAAAAAAATCTAAGGAAATGCCTTTTTTTGTGTATTTGCTAATGTTTTTTGTTTTCTTAGGATGTGAGCAGATACAGAAATTTTATGTCTACGTTAAATATTTCACCTAATCCTAGGTGCTCATATGATTGGACTAATACATTTTAAAAACAAATGGAATATTTGTTTTAAGAATGTAGAGCTGCTTATCAGATACTTGGACCACAGACTCAACCTAAGATTATTTCTAAAAATCACTGCCATAAGATACAATAATAATAAAAAAGAACAACATTAAAGATTGCCCAATAGACTAGGTTTGTTCTTATTAATAAAAGCAATAATATGGTAGAAGAGTATTGAGTCAGCTTCCTTAATAGAAACATCAAATACCCAGGAGAAGAAAGGTATATGATTCTGGTGGAGAAGGTAAATCTAATACAAAAAAATGAGGGAAATCAAAATGAAACTACTCTCTCTCAGACTTAAAAGAGTACAAGTACTGGCTTTGTACTTGGATGCTTTGTCTTGCTCAATCTGATTTCGAATAGAATTTATTTTACCGGCCATCTTTTTTTTTTTTTGGTTTTAATCCCCTCTTTCCCAGCTAGTATTCTTCGAACATTCTATTCTCCATTTCTAAGCTCTTCTATCTTTGCTTTACACAGAGCCCAACCTACCATGACCATGACTCAGGTTCTGCTCCTGATTGGAACTAGATTATCCCCAGGTGCCCAGTACAAATGGCAAGCAGAGAATCTGATTATCCAGCCTGTCTCCTAGGTTGCTGGCCAGCTTATGAATTTCCTGGTCTGGTGCCCTATGGCCCTGTGAGAACGGAGTTTGCCATGTAAAACCTGGCCACTTCAGAAACAGAGGCTCTGGGTGGGGATTTTTCCCTTGGAAGACAGAAGAGTGGGAACAGGGCTCTGAGCCTTGGTCTGTCTGGTTCATGTGGCTATCATCTCAATCACTGTCTATTGCTTGATTTGAAGTTTTTCTTCATTGGGCTTTATTCAAAAGACAGTTCATCAAATATATTTATAGCATAGCATAGTGTTTGAGGCTGTGGGTTTTGAGTCATAACCTATGTCTGTCTCCTTGTAGGTTTGGTCAAAGTTTTTAATGTTCCAACAGTCTCTCCCTTCTATCAGGGCAAATGACACTTTTTTCATAGGGTTGTTTCAAAGATAATGAGGTCATGTTGGTACAGTAGTTAATATGGTATCTTTTACATCCTAAAAACTCAATACCTAATGGCTGTCTCCACCAGCAGCAAGAACAGACAGTCTCTCAAAATTCTGCCATGGGAATGTTCTTGATCAGTAGTATCCTTATTGTTAAAATGAATTATCCAGATTTGTCTTAGTTACATGATTCAAATTTGTCTGTCAGTATCATTCTAAGTGTTGCTTAGAATTGCTATGTTGGAGAGTCGTCAGAATCACTAATTAGAGGAAGCCTGTTAAAGTTTTTGAATCTCTTGGCATCAGGTGTTCTATTAAATAACATTTGCAAAGTCTTAATAGCTACACATAATGTCGAAATGGCTTTGTAGTTACCTTTTTGTGATAAGTGCCTTCCGTGGTCTTTTCCTTTCTCAAACACTCGGAACGTCCCACATAAAGCAGGGAATACTGTTTTCTACGTAAACCTTCCCAAGTATTTCATGTTTGGGAGCTAACCTAGTCTTCCTTGGGACATCATGTAGACTTTTTCAGTCTCAAACAGGGTTCCTTTCAAATTCTGATATGAAATATGGCCTGTGAATTTCCTTCGGCACTTATGTTCTAAATAGAAAATAAAAACCACATTCTAGAAAGCACAAGGAAATACCAAAAATAAGATAGTGGGGGAGGCAAAGTTGAAAATACTGCATTTAAAGAGATAATCTGCATACAGTGTTCTCGACAGCCAAATTCTGGGCCTACGGGAGCATGCCTGCCCTGTCAGAGGCAGACAATAGGGTGGGTTACGTGGGAGGATGGCAAGGGAGCAACACATTCATCTGGCATAATCTTGGAAAAGAGTGAACTTCTAACCATTAGTTAAAATGTTGTTTTGCCTCATTTGCTAAAGTCACCAAGAAAGATCCTATTAAAAATTCCATTTGTTTCTTGAGTCTGTCTCTGCATTACATTGACCTAAGTTTAAAGAAAGTTTACTAGTTGGACCCCTGAGACATCCTGAGCTAGCCTAACAGGTGTAAAGGGTCACAGAGAAAGTAGGTGCTGCTTTATGGATGAGTCTCTACTTTTTAATTGTAACACCAGGCCCTTTCTCTTCCAGTGAGTTGCAGCTGGTATTGCATGACAAATCGGACAGGCTAGTCTTGCTATGTGAAGCATGGTCCATGGGCCAGCAGTTCCAGTATCTCCTAAGAGCTTGTTAATAATTTAGAAGCTCAGAGCCATCCTAAACTGGCTGAGTCCAATTCTGCATTTTAATAGGAGCCCTGGGTTATTGTTCGCCTATTAAAGTTTGGGAAGACTGGTCTACAAACGCATGGGCCTACATGGTACGGAATTGAACTTCTATTCCTAATTCCATCACTGATTTACATTTTGGAAAGATCACTTACTGTTTTTCAAGAATCTCCATTTTTTCTCCTCCATAAAATAAAAATAGTTTTCATCTTCCTTGGCAAAGCCTTGGGAACTAGTTGAGGTAGTTTGTAAAGTGCGTTATGTGGTGGAGGGAGTGAAAGTCCTGTTATTTTATGCAAGAAGACTGAGACTCTTGAGAAGAAGGCTAGCAATTGCATTGGAAACACTTGACTGTCAGACAGAATTCATTTCTTCTGCTGGAGAAGACAAGGGAGGCGGAAATGATGAACTTGGCTTCTCTTTCTAGCGCGAGACAGACCAGCGGTCTTTACTGGCAATCTTTTTTTTCCTTGCTCCTTCCACAATCTGGTAAAATACGATAATAACCTAGTGCTTCCTAATATGATATTATAATGTAGAACAATATTTACATAAAAACACGAAAAGGAGATTTTAAAACATTACTTTATGCAGAAGCCCCCTAAAGGCACGGGGTTAACACACCAGCACTACCCTCTCTGGAGGGTTTGGGAAGACTCTCATCTGTGCTCTGGGGTCAGGCGTAAGTTGTATTTTGCTGTGTGCTTTTGTTGTCCTATGAATTCTGTTTATCATCTGCTTTCATTGTTATTGGATGTTCATTTTATGGCCCCGTGAAGACCTAAGCACCAGCCGTTAACAACAGTAAAAATAATGCAAATCTCCTAGTTGGGTCATGGACATGGTTGGATCACAGGTATGTCCCCTGAGTATTTAGCGATATATTGTACATCTCTCAGATTATGACACAAAAAAACCAATAGGGATATTTTCTTGACTCCTAACATCACCATTTATTATTTTATTGTCCTTATGTTTATGGGCAATTCTGGAATCCTGTTATTAGAGGTCAGACGTATGTATAGTTTTTCAGTTTCAGGTTTCCCCTGAGAAGGGATGGATGGCTAGAGGCAAGAACACAGCAAGAACATTTTCCTTTCAGGTTTCCCTCCATTTCCCTAACGGCTTTAACCTTATCTGAGCATACTTGCTCCTACCCATTATCTCCAGTTTCTAAATGAATTCAAATAGAAAGTGTTTTTTGAACATTATTTGGTCATATTTTAGGTGAATTCTGCATTAACGTTCAGTAATCCCAACAGGTCCACTTTACCTCTGTGTTAATTTCAAAGTTCCACTATTTCTTGGGGGACTGGAAGATCAAGTTACACATGCAACACACACACATATACATACACACACACCACACATACATACCACACACACCACATATACATACCGCACACACCACACATGCATACCACATGCACACACACCACACCACACACAACACATACCACACACACATACCTCATACTACATACACCCCACACTACACACACACATAGACACACATACATTCTCATGATTAATGCCCCCAATTTAAGTCAGGGAAAGGAATGTGTATGGGGGAGGAAGATAATTTCTGATATTTTTAACAGCTCCATTTTACATTCTTACCAGCAATGTATAAGGGTTCCAATTTCTCCATATCTTTGCCTACACTTACTACTTTAGCCATCCTGGTTGGTGCAAAGTAGTATCTCATTGTGGTTTGTATTTATCTAATGACTAATGATGTTGAGCATCTTTTCATGTTGAGAAAAACTCACTTTTGATACATGTACACAGTCTGAGCCAAAAAGTCTAATTGTGTTCCAAATGCAGTTTTGAATATCTCCTCCTTTTTGGAGTCTGCTTTGGTTGAGAGCAAAGGGGTTTACTGACCAATACTTTAAGTTAGTCATAAAGTTAGTTCAACATCTTCGCCCTCTATTTTATGAAAAAATATTGGGAACACCCGGGGTAGCTTTCTGGCAGTAGAAAAGGAAAAATTAATTATTGCTTAAAAATTTCTATTCTTACTAGAGTAAACTGTAAAGTAAGTCAAGTTTACTTGATTTTGATGCTCTTATATTAATATTGTATGCTTTTCTCTCCCCTTTAGAGAGGTCCATTTTTTTCAGTTCTTCCTAATGCCATACTTTTTAGATGGCCCTCTATCAAGCTTGTTCTCAGGATAAGATGTGAAACACATAGACACTAAAAAGTACATGGTGGAAAAAGAAATCTCGCTATGCATCTTTATTAAAATTATTTTCAGGGAATGAAGGAAGAAAGGACCAAAGTTCTGAGTGGGATATTAAAGTGATATCGAGAGATGAAGATTTTTCTTTGGGTAACCTATATCATTTGGGGTCCTTTCAGTTGTATGTGACTGAAATCTACAATGAGAGTAGTTTAACAAAGGCTATTGGCTCCCACTAGCTGCAAGGTCTCCAACAGAATCACCAAGATCCATGTTTCAGCTGTATCTTGTAGATTGGCTCCATTCTTATGATTCTTGGGGTGATCCCTGGAAGCTTCTAGCTCACATCATCAAATGATTAGGAAAAAAGAGAGATTGGTTCCCTGATACCCCAACCAAAGTCTCAGAACTGAGTCTTCCTGGCCCCAGTTAGCCTGACCTGAGACACATGCTCATCCCTGAATCGATGACTGTAGCCAGCATGGTGGAACTTCCATTAGCTTAGCCTAGTTCACGTGGTCCCCTCTGGATCCTGTGTGTCACTTCACTGGAAGCATTTGGGCTGAGGCTAGCAAGTTGTGGTTAAGAAGTGGGGGTGGAAATATGTGACAGCATGAGGAATGATCACTATTTCCTCAAAGCCACAAAGATCACATGGGGATTCCTTCTCTCAAAGGGCAGTTCTAAGAAGGACATTAAAAACTCATCAGAGGCAATGGTTCTCAAGCTTTAGGTTATGTATTAGTTTGCTAGGGTTTGTTTGTCCCACTGCTGTATTTTAGAAGCAGATCACTTGTTTCACAGGTTTACAGATGGAGAGGAATTTTGCCATAGGATGAATCATTCTCTGAGTCTCACCGATACCACATTTAGATGATATTTGGATTAGATTTTGGATTTAGAATTGATGTTGCAATGGGTTAAGACTCTTGGAGTTGTTGGGATGGGGTGAATGAATTTTACATGAGAGAAGGACATGAATTTGGAGGGAGCTAGATGGTGTATTATTATGGGTTCAATTGTGTCATTCCAAAATTCGCATGTTGAAACCCTAGTTCCGAAGTACCTTAGAATGTGACCTTATTAGAAATGAGGTTGTTGCAGATGTAATTAGTTAAGAGATGTCAGGAAGGTGAGCCCCTAATCCAATACAACTGGTATCCTTATAAAAGAGGGAAATTTGGACACAGAGACATACAAGGAAATCACCCCATGAAGATTGGAGTTTTGCTGCCACAAACCAGGGAACTACCAAAATCTAGGAGAGAGGCTGGGAACAGGTTTTTCCCTAGTGCCTTCAAAGGGAACATGGCCCTGTCCTAACAAAATACCATAAACTAGTGGCTTTGACAACAAAAATTCATTGTCTCACAGTTCTGGAAGTTAGAAGCATGAGATCAAGGTGTCAGCAGGGCTTGTGTTAGGATCACAGCGTCTAATGATCTCAACTTGATTTTAACTGGGTTTATTGTTATTGCTTTTTTTTTATTTTAATAGAAGAAACAAAATTATCTGAAGATGATGAAATGGAGAAACTCTACAAATCGTTAGAACAAGCTAGTCTCTCTCCTCTTGGGGACCGTCGACCTTCAACCAAAAAGGAGTTGAGAAAATCCTTTGTTAAGCGATGTAAGAATCCATCCATAAATGAGAAACTTCACAAAATCCGAACCTTGAATAGCACATTGAAGGTAAAAAAAATTTCAGATTGTGGATGAACTCTGTGGATGTGGGGCAAGGCTGTTTCTGCAGAGAGATTCATGCTCACCGGTGTGTTTGTATGGGTGGAGGGAGGGCAATAAAACCAAATATAATCATCTGTAGGGTCAGATGACCTTTGGCATCCTTAAAGCACTGGCTCATTCACACAGTAGCACCCGTTGCACTTTCCTACAATAGGCCTTGATTTTTACATTCACTTTGGTATGAAAGTTCAAATGCTAAACTCCTAGACCCTTTACCTAGCACAGTAGATGATAATGAGGGCTTAAGACAGTCAGCTTGTGAGAATAAACAGTAAAATTAAACAAGATCTTAGAATTTCACCTGAGTCATTAAAGAGTGCCATTCTTCTCCTACTGCATCCAGAAGAAAATCTCTAGATTTCAGATAGAGCCAAGACTTCGTGATTCTCAGCCCCAGGCTCTGGAACCAGGAAACACCATGAGAGATGGGCCATGGGAAGTGTCCCGTAGATTGTAAGGCCAGCAGATGTTTTCACAATGGGAATGGGGAACAGGGTACAAAACGTAGTGAGGCTATTTTCAGGGCCTCCTGAACTAAAATGGTTCTTCATAACAAAAGCAACTTGCTTTCACATGTAGACTGTAGCATGAACAAGAGGGGCCCAGGATACTTTGTAAAATAGTCCCAAATTAGCAGAAGATTTATAGATTCTGAAAAGTCTTGATAGATTCTGCAGTTTAATTTTGATTTGTATATGTTCTTTTGCATCAAGAATTTGAGTCTCTTTCCAGGAAGAAATATCAGCAATCAAAGGACAAGGCTACAAAGAAATGGCTGAGTGACTCTTAGTCAGATGTCCCTGTTAGTCCGTAGAACAGCTAAGCACCCCAAAAGGCTGCAAAAATGAGGCTGAAAAAGAAAAGGCACAGGAGTATTTTAATTATACGAAGAAAACCAACATGTAAAGAAATTCTCCAATGTTGAATGATGAAAGACATCAGTAGCACTCCTGTAAAAGCCAAATATATTATATTCCATGATATGTATGAAGTTGATAAATACGTTTAGTCATTCAATGTAATATACCATAGTATGTTGGGATTTTTCTATCTTATTTGTAATAACTGATGTAAGTGAATACATTTTTCATTAGACAAATATTTCCTGAATCTTACTATGTCCCAGACTCTATTTTTGGGCATTGGGAGCATTGAGTGCACCCCACCGGATGGTGGAAATAGAGAGGAAAACAGAATGCAGTGTGTTGAGAGGTGTAGCTCATACAAACTTGGGTGCTTTGGTAGCCTGGAGGAGGGACATGGCTGCTTGTCTGAGGCCACTGGGGACAAAGTCATGGAAGTGCTGACAACTGGCCCATGAGTAAGAGATGAAGAATATTGGGGTGAGAAGAAAGAACTTTCATGGAGGAGGAACTGGTTTAAGATGAATGTGTCAGGGGAGGATACATTGCAGCCCACGTTGGGAGAAGCAAGGAACAGGATAAGGAGAGGATGGGCAGTTCAGGCCATTTCTAGAAGGAGAAAGATACAGTTTTAGCTTTCCACAGAATAGCAACTCAAAACTCTATAGACTGTCACAACACCATGCCCTGACCTGGCCACTGGGAGGCCAGGTTTGCACAAAGAATTTTGGTTCTCTGTGACCTCCTGTTCTCCGTGCACTATGGCCATGGAATTTATGAATTCAGCAGCCTTTTGCTTTTCTCCCCATGTGTTAGTTGTCTATTGTGAGGTAACAAAATACCCCCAAAATTAGCAACTACAAACAATGAACACTTGCTCACTGTTTCTGTGGATCAGGCATCTCTTGATGTGGTTTGGCTGGATGCTTCTCCAGGTCTCCCACAGGCTGCAGTCTTGGCATCAGTTGGGCCCACATTCATTCCTCTACTGGGGAAGGTGTGCTTCCAGGCTCTGTCATTGACTGGTTGGTAGGATTCAGTTCCTTGCAGGTTGTTGGACTGAGGTCCCAGTTTTTCTCCCAGTTCCTTGTCCTGTGGATATACGGTAGCTTCTCCGATGGAAGTTGGCTTTCCTCAGAGTGAGTAAGACAGCAACAGGGAGTGAACAAGATGGATCAGACCTGTCTCAGCAGCAACACCACATTACAATTACAATGTTCTATGCATTAGGAGCAAGACACTGGGTCAGCCCACGTTCAAGGAGGGGAATTACATAAAGGCGGGAATGCTGGGGAGCAGGGAGCATCGGGGGCCATTTGGGGGCTGTCGACCACACCCATCTGAAGATCTGCTGTCTCTGTGCATTCCTGGAAAGAAGCCCTCTCCACAGACCCCTTAGAACTCACAAAAGTGTAATGCTGGGCCTGGTGAAACATAATCCATGTTATGTGGTCCTATGAACCTCATCACAAGGTAGGAAGACACACTGATGTGGAAATTGGCCTTCTTGGAAAGATAAAGCACATCAACCTATTCACTGGAGAAAGATAATTTGGTACATGTTTGTTTATTCATGTCAAAAGGCTATAAGAATTATTTTAACTATCTGTAATTGAATCAAATTTGATAATAATTATCTTTAAAATTCAGAATAGTCAGGGGCGCCTGGGTGGCTCAGTTGGTTAAGCGACTGCCTTCGGCTCAGGTCATGATCCCGGAGTCCCGGGATCGAGTCCCGCATCGGGCTCCCTGCT